CTTTTCCTGACCGTGGTAACAGGGACATTCTAATGAGTCATCACTTAGTGTAGGTTTGATTTCTCTGCGATTTTCTCACTCTACATAAAGAGCTTAATATTTCAATTTAAATATTTTGCTGAGAGAAAATGGACAAGCCTGTTTAAAATAGAATGTTTGATCCCCGAGGGAGAAAAGTGTTGGCATGTGTTGTCTCTCCTGCAGGGAATTCTCTTCTCATTCTGAAAKTTCTCTGTGTTAATGTGACTTGTGGGGATTATTTAAAACGAAATTTTCCCTTCTTGTGTCTGTTCAAGAGCCATTTGAACACTGAGTATCTTATTTTAAAGGTGATTTAGGAAAATAAGTACTTTTGGTGCATTCCTATGCATTTTCAAGTTTTCCTTCAGAAYTGAATTTTACAGAAATCAGGAGTAATTTCACAGTTTGGAATTGTGAAATTGTGGGGKTTTTTTTTAAGATAAAATGTGTCCCTAAATAATCAGCATTAGTAGRTGTTTTGCAGAGAAAACAGAGATGCTTTGGTGTTGGGTTTAGCTTTGTTTTCTTTTGATGTAGGTGAATTTTCAGTTGTCCAGTTTGGGAGGTGGGTCTGGCTTCCTTTTGGACAGGCTTGCAGCAATGCTGGATCCCAGGATTCTGCTTTGGGAATATTTCAGTCATGGAACAGAATTATGGAATTGTCAAGGCTGGAAAAACCCTCCAAGGTTATTGAGTCCAACCATCCCCAGCACTGCCCCGTGTCCCCAAGGGCCACATGCACAGGGCTGTGAAATCCCTGCAGGGATGGGGACTGCACCCCTGCTCTGGGCAGCTGGGACAGGGCTGGAGAACCCTTTCCATGSAGAAATTTTCCCAAATATCCAACCTAAACCTGCCCTGTCCCAGCCTGAGGCCGTTCCCTCTCCTCCTGTCCCTGTTCCCTGGAGCAGAGCCCGACCCCCCCGGCTGTCCCCTCCTGTCAGGGAGTTGTGCAGAGCCACAAGGTCCCCCYGGAGCCTCCTTTGCTCCAGGCTGAGCCCCTTTCCAGCTCCCTCAGCCTCTCCTGGGGCTCCAGACCCTTCCCAGCTCCRTTCCCTGCCCTGGACACGCTCCAGCCCCTCCAGGTTCTTCTTGTCCTGCAAATGAAATAAAGCATTAATAAATAGAAGTGATGAGCCTTTACTAAAATCTGGTAAAGAAGAAAAAACCCAATCTGAGCCCAGGATTTGAGTCTGTCAACAGTACCAGTCCAGGGGACAATCCCTGCCCTGAGCCACACAATTCCTGAACCATTCCAGGTTCTCTGGGCACTCCAAGGACCCCCAGGACCTTTCCCACYGGGCACTTTCCAGCCCCTCTCTGGCCCAGGGTGACCCTCAGTGAACCTATTTTGGAAAGGAACCATCCATTCTTTGCAGCAAACTGCTGCCAGGCGCTGCTCTGGGGGGATGTTCTGTAATTATCTTCCTCTCTGCGTGGCCACCTCATTTCTGAGCTTTGCTGTAGGGTAGGAGTTCCAGGGTAAACCCTGACACAATTTCAGTGAATAAATATCTGATAAATGCCCAGGACAATGGGAACCCCTTGCAGGAGTGGCTGATAAAAACAGCTTTGCAATTACCTCTATGGTTCAAAATAAAATGGAGTTTTTTTAGATAATTCAGTGCCTTTTTTCAGTGTATTACTTCCAATCGCAGGCTGTAGGTGATGACAATCATCTCYAAATCCACCTAAAGATTAAAAATCAAGATTAAAATCTAATCATGTTGTTAGCTGTTGCTGACTAGTTAGTAGACCATATTAAAACCACCTCCAGTACAAATATTGTCTCTAAATAATTACAAACTTTTATTAGCATTGTAATTAAGAGCGTGCTGGCTGCAAACAATACCTCACAAAGGGAACGATGACTGCAAGTTGGACTTTGTTCCTAATTTTAAACAGCTTTTCCTTCCCAGCAGGGCTCGAGCTGTGGTTTGCAGGTGGGGATGTGCAGATAAATGTTGGAGCAGGGATGTCTGGGTGGGACATGGTGTGGGCTGAAAGGAATGATTTTGTATCAAAGGAAGGGTTTTTATTTCCTAGGATGAACACTGAGATGATAATTTGTGCAGGGAAACAGGAAGAGGGGTTGCCAACTGATCCAAGACCCTTCCCCATTCTGCTCAGCACCACTYTGGGGGCTCAGCCTGAGCCAAAATGACCAAATTTAACAGTTTGGTGTCATTTGAACTCAAACCCACCAYGCTACAGAATCCCCTCCTGTTTGTGCTTTGTTTGTATTTGCTGAGCTCATTTATTTTCCCGTGTTTATTTTTAACCCCAAGAGCCATTCCAGGTTTTTAGCCAGCTCTCCTCATTGCATTTCCTCACTTGTGGACTCTGAATGTTTCAGCAGCAGACATTAAACTCTGCTGTTCCTTTCTGATTGCCACCATTGCTAATTAAGAAGATATTTTTGTGTAATTATCAGTCCCTTCAGTGAGTCACCATCTCTGCTGGCTGGGGACAGTCAGAGCAGTTCCCTCTGTGCAGCCATGAGCTGCTCCCAGGGGTTTGTCAGGATTTTGGAGGGATGGAGGAGGGGACAGGGATCACCAGCAGACACAGAGGAGATGGCAGTTGAATTTATCCACTCCTCTGGCTGCTTCTACAGTGAGAAAATAGTATTAAAATGTGTTTGGAAGTTTAACAGTTGATCCACACCSAGGGGAATGTTCAGCTGGAGAGGAGAAGGCTCCAGGGAGAGCTCAGAGCCACTTCCAGGGTCTAAAAGGGCTCCAGGAGAGCTGGAGAGGGACTGGGGACAAGGGATACAGGGACAGGATAAGGGACATGACTTCAAATGGACAAAGGGCAGGGATGGATGGGATTTTGGGCAGGAATTGTTCCCTGTAGGGTGGGCAGCCCTGGCACAGGGTGTCCAGAGAAGCTGTGGCTGCCCCTGGATCCCTTTGAGTGCCCAAGGCCAGGCTGGACATTGGGGAACCTTTGGACAGTGGGAGGTGTCCCTGCCATGGCAGGGGTGAGATGAGATGGGATTTAATGTCCTTTCCACCCCAAACCAGTCTGGGATTCTCGATTTTTTTTTTTTTTTTTTTTTTTTTAAATTTCAATTTGCCTTGAGAAATTCCTCAGGTATGGAATTCATCTTTTAACTTTATTTCATTATTGCAGCCACGTGTATTAACTTAAAATGCCCCCAAATATAGAGAGGAACACAAAAACATCACCAAAGCTTTCAGTTGCAGAGCTGTGTTTGAGGGAATCAGAGTTGTGTGTTGGCTGCTGGTCACCTGGAAAGGGCTGCATTTGCCCCTGTGGGGTTGATGTGTTGATGTGAAGAAAAGTAAAAATGGGTTGAGGGCTTTGCCAAGCAGTGGACTTTGAGGTTATTGAAATGTCTGTGAGATATTCTGTGGGCAAAACAAGGTTTGTGCCAGCTCTCCTGGGCATTCCTGAGCCATCCAGTGAACTGGGATGGGCTCAGCTCCATCTGCAGCCTGATCTGAGGCAGTCAGTTAAAAAAAAAAAAATATAATTGTGATTGCTGTTGGCTCATCAGTGGGATTGATGACATTATTTGGGGGATGGGAAGGAATGTGGGCCATTGAACATTTCCTTGCAGGTGTGAGCCCCGTGTTTGCTGTGGCAGGAGCTCRTTAGGTGGCATTTTGACAATTAATATTCAGATTTTTGAGATGGTCCTGTCTCATTTCCATTTCACAGTCGCAAACGTTGTCTTTGCAGAGCCACAGCTTTTCTTCTTGTCAGGGTTTGTTGGAAAGTTCTTTTGATGTCCCAGAACAGCAGTTTGGGTGGCCTTTCCCTTCCATATTTATGGAGTTTTGCAGGTGCCACAATCTCTGGAAAATTCAATGCTCCCACGTGGACAAAATCATCCCTGGAGGAGTTCAGATCTCAGCCTTGTGGAAGGAGAAAAGCAAATTCCAGGAATTTGCTGGTGGAAGTTGGGAATTAGCCTGTAAATGAGAGGGCTCAAAGCACATATGGGTGACCCAATGTCGTTTTGGGTTTAATCTCAATTAYTTGGGCTGATGTGGAAATAAAGATTTGAAATTGAAATGAATGCTGATCTGAAAGGTGACAATAAAGGCTCCCTGCCTTCATGGAGGGAAAATTCCTGAGTGTTCTCTTGGGCTGTGGCATGGAATAACCTTGAAAATAGCACAGAAAGGGGAATTTTTAATTTAATCAAAGCACAGAAAGAATCACTTCTTTTCTAAGTCATTCTGCTGGGTTTTTTTTTGTTTTTTTTTCTCATTTATAACATGTTTTTTTCCTATATTAAAGACCAGAAAAGATGTGGACACCATTAACAGGCTTTTAGCAGACAAAGAGGGAGGACAGACCAGAAGCTCCCATTTTATGGGATTTTATTACATCTGGGAGCTGTAGGGATGCGTTGGAATTGTCACTACAACACTTTGACACACCAGCAGGAAAAACYAAACTTTCTTTTTGTCACTTTTTACTCTGTGTGATGTGAGAGAGAACTGGCTGGTGCTGCTCTTCTGTTTTTATGGAATTTACTGGATTTTGGTGGTGTTTTTTTTAAGCATCACTGTATCTGAAAATACCATGCAGCAAAATTAAAACTTGGGGTTTAGCTGGGATGCTCAATACGATGATTTTGAAGAGATTTCTTCCCTGAGCAGAATATTGACTTTCCAAATGTGAATGCTGATATTGTGTGATATTTTTAGGAGTGCTGTTTATTACCTTGCAAAGATTTTAATGTCTGAGCAATTTTTAGATGAAGAATATGATGTGAAAGCCTCGTTGAAGATGGCAATAAAGCCATGAAATTGGAAACTTTTTGAGATGGCTTTTTTTTTTGTTTTCTTGACAGAATTTTGCATATCCATTAATGAATTCTAATGATAGAATTATCCCCACTGCATTCTGTGATGCTCTCTGGCAATATTGTGTTTTGATAGCCAATATTACATTGCATTATCCTAAATAATGGAGTTTTTTCCTTTTCTTTATGCCAGGGGAGTTTTGTGGCCTGCATGACAGCCATCCTGAGGCAAATGGAAGATTATCACTATGCCCATTTAATCAAGACTTTTGGCAAGATGAGGTCGGATGTCGTGGTGAGTTTAATGTTTTATCTCTTCATAAGATTGCTCAGCTTGTGTTTGGATTTTTTTTCTTGTTACTGGTCGTTAAATGCACTTTTGATATGTGAGCAAAATGTGTTTGGCATTATAGATTTCATAGAAAAGAATTATTTCAGCACTGTGAGACACACGGGAGTGCAGCTGGAGCTGTTCAGTGGTTTAAAACATGAGACAGTGGATTGAAGGCAMTTAAATAAAGCATTAAGAAATAGTAGTGATGAGACATCACTAAAAAATCTGTTTTGAAGAGTAGTGATGCCCAAACAGTTGCTCAGCATCTGCTGCCCCCAGCAGTGGCTCCCAGCCAGTTCTCCCAGTTTATGAACTGGGGATGGCATTCCAAGGTGTGCAAAATCCCTTTGGCCACTTCAGGTCACTCATCCTGGCCCTGCTCCCCAAATTCTTGTGCAGCTCCTCTCTGGCAAAGTGAAAAATCCTTGACTCAGGGTAAGCACTGCTCAGCAAAATCCAAAATATCAGCGTGCTCTCAACATTCATTTCATCCCAAATCCAAATCACAKCTCCCAGGAAGGAAATAAACTCTAACCCAGCCAAAATCAGGACAGCATGGAATGAAAAACTGCAGAGAGAAAAGTATTGCTGAGGAAAGCTGGGATTTTTCTAATGAAGCTCCTTTCAAGTCTCACCTTTTTGGTCTAAATTGTCAGAAAGGTGCTTGTGTAGGTCAGATCTTCCTTGGTGAGAACAAGGGAGTGATCATGGAGCTGCAATTTGGCAAGGGCTGGTTATAATTGCTGCTCTTCAGGCTGTGATTGATGTGCTTGCAGTGCACTGGGACCCAGGAGGAGTCACTTCTTCCTTTGCTCTGGWCTCTGGATATTCATCTTTTTCTGTGTGTTCTGTGCAGTTGCTCTGCACTGTTAAAATCCCATTTTCCATCAGAGCAGGAATTGTTTCCCTTCTTGTTTTCCATTGTAATTCTCACCAGCCAATCCTTGGGTTTGATATTTGAATCCAGACTTGGTCAGTTCCTGTGATAATTTTTATATCTTTAATCAAAATGTATCTGTTAAATGTTTTTATATTGTGTAAATGCTCACATGTGTTAATGAAATCTGAACTGTTAAAATATTAAATGGGAAATGTCTTTGTGGTAGAAAATGCTTCCTTAAACTGATTTTAAATAATATTAATTAAAGTGAAGAGGTTTAATGGCAGAGCATTGTTAATCCCACAAGTAAAGGGAACTACAGTGAGTAAACTAAATTTTCTTCCTTTTTTTTTCATGGTTTTCCCACTCTTTTAATCCAGTAATTTTTTGAGCTGCTGCCATTTGACTCACCCGATAGAACTGAAATCCAGGAGTSTTTGCATTTAAACCCAGACCTGGAGGTGAGAACTGCACCTCCTATTGCAAAGGATTCAGTKTAATCACAAASCAGTGATWTAGAACTGAGACTAAATTCAGCTAAGCTGAATTTTGATTTTCAGCAATTAAAAACTTTTTCTTAGAAAAAGAAAAGGCAAAAAAAAAGGCAAAACTTAAGCTGTGGTTGCTTCTCCAGCATTGAAGACCTTTAAATCTTCCTTCAGCCTCTGCTCTTGCTCAGCCTGGAGTTGGAAGCTCAGTGCTGGAAGTGCTGCAGGAAACTTTATGGTCTGTGTTATGTAGGTGGCAGGTTTAGATTATGATAATGGTCATATTTGGCCTCAAAAGTCTTCRAAAAGATGAGGTGGAGAGCAATAAAACCAGTCCTTTACCTCTCTGCAGAACAGAGAGTTGAGATTTATTAAGGAATGTCTGTTCAAAGAGGAATTTCTTGCTTTAAGGTCCCTTCCAGCCCGARYRCTGCTGTGATTCTGTAAACCCAGAATCTGTGATTCTGCTGTCATCCTGGGATGAAATATTATCTGAGATCAGTGAGGTTATTTCTGGGACTAACTGATTTCTCTGCCCTTTTTACTTGGTAAAAATATTTTTATTTGAGACGTGTGGGAATTAGTTGACAAAAAAAGCCTGATAATGTTTTACCATGTGGAGAAGCTCGGGCTGAGCTCAGGCTGTTTTCTTGTCATCAGTGCATGGGGATTTTTTAGGGGTCTTACCTGCTGTGAATTCTGCTTCCTGTTAAATAGGATTTGTGTTTGTAGTTGGAGAGAGAGCAGGAGTTGGAGCCCTTCCTTCTTTAATACAGGTTTTTATGTTCAGAATTTTTTTCTTGCTTCCAGTTGTACTCAAAATAATCAGCTTTTCCCTGTCCTGGCATCTTCCCTTTCTTCCCAACCCCCCAAAACCATGAGTTTTGCTCATAATATGAGGTTAAATTATCCAACCGTTTGCTTTTCTATGAGAAACATAAAATGGAAAAGAGAGCAATATTATGGATACATAAACCCCAGGTGAGCATCAGGAGCTTTTTATTTGATCAATAATTAGCTCAGTTGTTACAGAGCATTATTTAAAGTACCTGGGTGAGCATGGGGTTATTAAAATGTAAATTATCAGGGGATGGAAATGCAGAGCTGAATCAGCAAAGTAGGTCAGAACCCCCCAGGGTCAGGAAGGAACCAAATCATCARCAATGGGATTCTTTCACCAAAATACAGGAAAAATGAGCAGTGCAATCTGCAGTTTGAGCTCTTAAATGAGTGCAGGTTTTCCTGAGCTAGAGGAGAGGATCTGGGGTGAGTTTGGCTTTACACAGTGGGAACACCTGAACCAGGAGCAGTTCTGGGGCTGTTCTCCATCCTGGTCATGCCAAAGATTGGGATCTGGTCACTGGGCATGGTGTGTTTGATCAGAGGTTGGGTCTGATGATCCTGGGGGTCTTTTCCTACTTTAACGATTCTGGGATCCTTCCTGATGTTTGGGGTGAAATAACAGAGGAGTTATTTTAGCAGAGGAGTTGTTTTACCAGGAATATTCTGCACACACTGGAGCCCAGTGCCCTGGAAGGTCACAGAATCCCAGAATTCCAGAACAGCTGGGGTTGGAAAGGGCCTCTGGAACTGATCCAGTCCAACCAACTGATCCAGTCAGGGCAGGCTCCAGAGAGTGGGAAATTTTACATTGCTTTGTGAAATGAGAAAGGTGAAGAGACAATATTTACAGGGACCAGGACATAGGGAATGGTGTCTCAGTGCCAGAGGGCAGGGATGGATGGGATTTTGGGCAGGAATTATTCCCTGGGAGAGTGGGGAGCCCCAGAGAAGCTGTGGCTGCCCCTGGATCCCTTTGAGTGCCCAAGGCCAGGCTGGACATTGGGGCTGGGAGCAGCCTGGGACAGTGGGAGGAGTCCCTGCCCATGGCAGGGGTGAGATGAGATGGGATTTAAGGTCCTTTCCACCCCAAACCCTTCTGGGATTCTGTTGCTCTCACTGCCACATCCTCAGGATTTCTGCAGCTCCCTGCACCCACTGACTGYGAATGTCTGAGCCAGGAAAACATTTTAACAGAGCAATGGATCAAAAGGTAAATCTGCTGAAGATCCTGGCTCTCACACCTGAAAAAAGACTGATGAGAGCAGGAGCTGCAGATTCATTTCTCACTGAAAAGGTTACRCTGAAACCAGTCTTACTTAAAAGTCCAGTCGATGGAACGTATTGGGGATTTTTTTTTGGTAGGCATTTGACATTTTAAAGATAGACCAGATAAATACCATTACTGAGAAACTGTATCAAAGGGAAGATATTCTAACCTTGGAATGAAAGTTCATTTTTATCTCTGTGTGAAGTGGATCAAGGACTTTCTGCATGAAGTTCTCTTTTCCCCGTTATCTTCCTGCCAGCATTTGATATTACTGAAATTGTTAGGTAGCAATTACAGATTCCCAAATTGTAGCAGATAATTTACATTGTAAAGTACACGAAGTTTCTGGTCCAGAGAACTGTTTGTTTATGGCTGTGTAGGAATAAATTGGTTTATGCTGTGAAATTCTCGTGTTCTCGRGCAGGTTTTCTCTTGCAGAAGCGATTCCAGCTGCTCCCTTTAGGGATGGTCTCTCCCAATTTTGGGATGTCCATTGTTGTCATCTACCCCAGGTCAGGCTGGTGAATCCCACCTTGAGCTGGAACATGTATTTATTTTGATACAGAAATAATCTTGATWTCAGGAAAATATCTATGAAGGGAGGGAATATTCATCACCTGACTCCAGGGAGTATTTTTTGTGCAATCTTAAGAATGAAATAAATATTTAGCTTTTTTTTTTTTCCCTTTCCATGTACCAATGTGCTTTTAATGACTTCCCAAGAGTGTGTCATGACAGGTATGTCACAGTACACAAAGGAAATGGGAGATTTTGTCTACAGCATGGAAAATAATGTCTACAGGAAAATAATGATTTTTTTTCCAGCAGAAACTCCTTTTGGATAACTGGTGAATCAATGCTTGGCCTTGGCTAATCCCATGGGTTGCTTAAATGTGGGATTACTGGTGTTATAATTCCTGAAATGGAATTACTGTAGGATTTMTGGGCATCACGTATAAATGTGCTTCAGTAGGATTTGGGTGTGTTTTATATGAAAAATGGCTTTTTTAGGAAGCAGAGCAGCAAGACCCCTTTGGAGCCCAGTCATTAATTAATAATTAAAAGCTGCCACCATCCTTGGAGTTTTTTGGTCAATGAGAGCAACCTTCTCCAAACACTTTCTCTTCTTTTAGGATTTCCTGATGGAAACATTCATCATGTTCAAGAATCTGATYGGGAAGAACGTCTATCCCTTCGACTGGGTGATCATGAACATGATGCAGAACAAGTGAGTACAGAGGGGAAAAGCTCCAGACTTTCCCGAGCCGACGGCTCCGGCTTTGCTCCGGAACAACGGGGTTGCTTGGAAACAGCAGCCACCAGGCTGCAGCCAGCCTGCCCTGGCTTTTCCTCCTTCTCTGATGCAAAGAATTATTTAAAAATTGACTCTGCAGGTGGCTGAGCAGTGTTTTAGTGGCTTTTGGAGTCCACCAAAAATTAAGGGTGGTATCAGTCTGAGAACCCGGATTTTGGAGGCAATTGTGGGTGCAGAAAAATTTTACATCTTAAAATAATTCATTTTATTCTGTGGAGGATGAATTGCATGTTTTGCATATGATCTGAAACTAGGGGTTATTGTACAGAGTTGTATGTCCAGGAATAATTTCAAGGGTATTACGAGCAAGAATTAAAAAGGCATCTTAGAAGCAGATTCCATCACCCCAGTAATGTAGAGAGAAGCTGAGAGTGTTTCTAATCCTCATTTTTTTTCCTCAATAATTGCAGTTCTGTCATTATTTAGCATTCCTTTGTGCAGTGTTTTATGCTGGTGACATTTTATTAAGTGTGTCAAATGCTTTTATGTGTACTGAGATGAAAGTATAAGGGGAAAACATTATATTTACCAGTTGCCTGGAGAAATCTCTTCTGCATTTACTGGAAGCTACCACGGCTATAAAGTTGTCAGCRTTTCCTTACATAAAATCCTGAACCACAGCTCCTGCTCTCCTTATAAAAATGCACCATAACTTTAATCTTGGCTTCTGAAGTCTCCTTAACTCCCTAATAAAATCCATTCGGACTAAATAGGAGTCAGGAGAYTGAGCCATCTTTGGGTTCTTCCTGCTGGTTTTGAGTGCTTGGGAAATACCTGGTGTTTGAAACAAGGGCTCCTCTGAGAGCTGGGGAGGAACATCTGAAATCCTTTGTATTTCTTTCTTTTTTATTAATTTTGAAATGAGTAAAATTTTGTTTCAGCAATTCCAAATGTCTTAGGTGCCATGGCAGGGGTGGGATGRGATTTCAGGTCSCTTCCCACCCAAACCAGTCTRGAATTGTTTTACCTTGACATTATTGCTGAATCACCTCTCAGTGTTCACTGGGGTGAGGGTTTGACCTTGGTTTTTATTTCACGCTGTGAAATCCTGACCCTACAAATGAAAGAGCAAAGGTACAAAATAAGCCTTTCCCTGCCCAGTTTTTTTTTCCTTAAGGCACAAAGGGATCCTTACCCCAGGCAGCTCCTCACSGAAAATTTGGAACAACACAAAGCACAATGGCCTATGGTTAGGACAGAGGCTTGGAATTTTTATCCTTAAAAATAATCTTGTTTTTATCCCATGCTGAACATGAAGTCCTGAGGAAGCAGAAACGGGATGTGTTGATGATTTTTGATTCTTCCTGACTCACCTTAGTGCTCATAGAAGACCTGAGTAGTATTTAAAGTTAAGAACAAAAACATTTTCCCATCCTTCTGGTGTTAATATCTTCAGATATCCTAAAGGGGTTGTCCATCCCTAATTCCCTCATTCCCTCATTCATTCATTCCCATTGCACCAGCTCCTTTGGAAACGCTTCTCAATTGATTTCTATGGTTTTCATTTCTCCTGTTGGAGTTAACGTGGTTTCCAAAACCAGAAAGCTGCATTGTMAAATACCTTGTTTTGTCCATCTGCTCCATTTATTTCCACCCTTATAAAGTTTTATTGAAGAAAACCAGATGAAATTTAAGAACAAATTCTGTCCTTTAAAGCTGCAGCATCCCCTCCACAGAAATAACTCTGAATGTACAATTTTGTGTCATTCTTGAGAGCATCTCCTTGAGCAGTTTCCCTGCCATGAGCCAAATCAAGGGAGGTAAATTTTAACTGTATCCACARTTTCATTTGTTTCCTGCATGGAATAAATCTGGTAGTGTGAAACAATAGAAAAAGGGAAAAAAAAGTTGAAAGATAGAGCTTTAATTMGTCTTTTAGACTCATCCTTTAGGAGGTTTTTCCTGATGCTCCTCTCCGTGCTGGGCTTTGCTTCCAGATTAAAATAGTCTGGATTAAGCAGTGGATTCAAATATCCTGGCTGAGGTAAAATTGTAGATATGGGGAAAGAGGGAAATGGAGAAATGCATGTGAATGATTGGATTACGGGGAATATCTGCAAATAGAGGYTTAGTTCAAATTCAGTATTAGATTTTTTGACCTTCACTGGTGGGATAAATAAATAGAAATTTGTGTAGTATTTCTTCCTTGTATATTATAGATATATAATACATAATCTAGATATATAAAGAAATCTCTTCACAGTCATTAATAGCCACAGAAATCGCTCTGGTTTTGGTACAATGCATGGAAAATTCAAGTTTCTCTCCTTTTCCTTCTCCTCTGGTATTGCTGTGCCAGGCTCAGGGTCACATCCCATTCCCAGGGTCACATCCCATGCCTTGGTTCCAACTCGACGGGGACTCACACTGTGTTCCCACCTTTCATGCTGGAATGAACACAAAAATCCTCATATCTAAGGAGAAAATTCTCCCTTTTTTGCAAAATACTTTATTTACTGATGTCCTTAATGTCATACAATTCTCATTTTAGCAAAGCAATTTATTCAGTCAGAGTCCACAGTTTTGGTGTCACCAATTTCATGGAATTTCTTGATTTGTCACCAATGTGTTCAAGGTGATGCTCTTTTGCTGGTCAGCATTTCAGGGTAAAAAAATTCATCTGAGGAGTAAAACAAAAGAATATTCAAACTGCTGCAGTTTGGTCCAGAWCAGCCACTGCTTTGCTGTAAACAGCAATATCCAAGGAAAGGAGATGGAAAAAAACACAGAGGGATGACAGAGATGGATAAGAGACCATTAAATGTACATTTGAAACAGCTCCTTCTAAGGAGGAGTWGGAAATGCCTTATAATTCCTTTTAGGATATTTGTCCACCTTTAAATTACAGCCTTTGTTGGGTTTGTCTATGCCCACATTCTCAGGATGAGTTATTCCTGTTACAGCAAAGCCAAAATATCTGTATTTAATAATTTTAAGCAATCAGGAAGTTTTCCTGTGTTTCAGGATAGGGCTGGGAAGTGCTTTGGAGGTAAATTCCTCATTGCAGGCATCTCCTGCAGGAAAACACACCCGAGGAGTTTGAACTGTAAAAGGAGTTACAAAAAAAGGCAGGGATTTTGTCTTGTTTACATTTCCCCCATCGAAACTGTGTTTCGAAATGATCCTGAAATGTTTTGGAAATTGTTTTTAACTTTTGTCAGAAGCTGACAAGCTAAACTTAGGTTCCTCCTAAACACATAACTCACAACATGAAAGCAGTTCCTCCCCACGGTTCCGTAAATGAAAATAATTTAGTCTTTGGTCTTACTTTTGGCATTTGAGACAATCAGCTCCTTTGGTAAGACCTTATGATATATTAATTTGTAGCTGCTACTTTCATCTGCAGCTGTGCCAGCGGAAGCTGAGGTGCCTATGAAAAAGGAATTTGATGTTTGCTGTTCTATTTTTTGTTTCTAATGTCCACATTTACATAAAATACCTGTTTGTTTTGCCTTTTGAAGTCAGAGAGGAAGAAGGGATGAGATGCTTCTTGGTGAAAATGAGGTTTCTTGTGCCTGTGTGATTTGGGATTTTTTTCCAGAGGAAATAGAGCTTGGCCTTGGGGAGGGAATTTGGTGGGTGGTACCTGTTGTGTCGGGGAGGATGGGATGTTTGGGCACTGGGAAATGGGCACAGGAAAAGGGTGTTTGGTCACTGGGAAATGGGTACAGCCCCAAACTCTGCTCAGAAACATCCCTGGGTTATTCCCCCTGTTCCCAGCACAAACCCAAACCACCATGAACAAAACACCTCAACCCCACCCCAACCCAGCCCACCAGCCCAAAACCCAAATAAAAGCCTGGCAAAGAGGAGGACAAAGGACGGGGGAGACACAGCGGATAAACACATCCTGGAATGTTTATTTTTGGAGCTTGCAGGGAGATGTAGGCAGTTCTGCWGCGTGGTTGTCATAGCAGTACCTGTCACATCCATCCTGGGCTCTCAGAATCCCTTCAGTGATGGTTGTGACCGTCCATCAGGAGTGGGCAAACCCTGATGCACGTCAGGAATTGGAGCAACTTTTGCGTAACTCGGAACCTTCCAAAACAGCCCAAGCTTCAGCAGCCCTGGAGTTGATCCTTCCTGACAAATCATCCAAAAGCCAAACTAAAATTGGGCTTTAGCTTATGGAAATTTGGCTTGATTGCAATATTCTGCAGGGTYTGATGCGGGCTTATGGAAACAAAAGCGGGGCTGGTGTTAATAAATGGATGAAAATAGGTTTTTTGCACTTACATAATTGACCAGTCAAGTTGCATCCATCAGATGAGTGCAAGTGCAAAAGCTTTTATTTAAAATCCATCCCGAGCTCCTGCTGGGTGAGGTGTAGTTTTCACAACAGGCAAAAAGAGGCCACAAGGATGGCAAAGATTCGGGATTGAAAGCTGCAGGAAAAGCAGGGACACAGCACAGTTTCCCAGCGTATCAGGTGTTATTAAATGTATGGATTTGGGGTGGAGGAAGCAGGAAAAAGCTTTAAAATCATTATTTCATTTCCCAAAGCCCTTGGTGGGTTCAAGCCTGTGTTAATTCCATGTTCAAAGACATGATTAATGGCCTCCAGGGGAGGTTTATWTTGGAGATTAAGGGAAATTTCTTCAGGGAAAGGGTTTACAAGAACTGGATCAAGCTGCCCAGGGCAGTGTGGAGTTCCCATCCCTGGAATATCCCAAAAATACGTGGATGTGGACATGGGTTATGGTGATCAAGGTGGGTTGAGAGTTGGACTCAATGACCTTAAAGGTTTTCTCCACCCTCAACCACTCAATTTTATGATTAAGTGGATGTGACTTGAAAATCAGAATTTATAACTGATCGTTAAAATATTTCCTCCCTGCATTTTTTTTTTAATGGACTCCGGTAACTGGTTTACATTCCCAAATTGGAACTGAGATGAGGGAAATGTTTGAAAT